CTCAAACCTTAGCAAAAGTTTCAGACTAACGTAATTTTCAAGCATCATGACGATGTCTGGATGACTACTGTTCAACACAAAGGTAGCTCACCTTCCGGTTGAAGATCAGGCGGGAGATGGTGGAGGGAGAACGAGACGTTGCCATGACCGTCATCAAACAATCAAACCCTAAAACCCATGAACTATCTTGGTCTTTGCCTTCTGTGTACACGTGTGTCTGTATGTATTACGTTGAACACTGAACATTGATATCGTGCAGTGTTCCGCTTGCACTAATGGATCATGCTCGATCACTTTACGTGTTATTGTTATCCAGTTCCACATTCAATAGAAATGTGCAGCTAGCAATAGAAATTCCGTTTGTCCCTTACCGCTATAGAAGCATTTATGATACCAAGCAACCAGAATGTACGACATCCAAGTGCATCCTGAAATGCGTAAGCGGACCTAACGGAGTATACAACACAGGATACGACGGCTGCTTAACCTTATAAAAAAATGGTATATTCTGGCAGTAGACATCCTTTTGTGGCTTCCGACTCCCGGTTTCAGGTATCAGATTATCTGCTCTAAAGACCGTGTGGTAGCTTCTCGTGCGTATCAGGTTGCTCTCTTTTGGTGATTAGTTAAAAATCCCGGTCTCAGTATTCTTTTTCAACCGTAAACTTAGAACTAACGACAACATCGTTGAAGAAACCCCTCCGAATTCAATGTGCCCTCGTCAGTTGTACAGTTACAAAGCGGATCAAGAACCTGGACATTGAAGAGCAATCAAAATAGTGTTGTCTTTCGTATTTCCTAATTGGATCACCTCGATCCAGCATACAGGCTTCACTCAACACTTGTAGCTTACAGTGAATATCTATGGAAACGTTCACCTCATTTTCACTACATTTATCCTAAAATCATATTTGTTTTTCTGTGTTGTCGTGGATAGTCTCAGTTTATTTCCAAATGTTGTTCCAAATGTTGTTCTTTATTTCATCGATGACAGTCAAGGAAACACCGTTTTTCCAGGCATGTTTCTAGCACTCAGAGTTTATGAAAAGATTCCGGAATCTTTATTTTGAAAAATTTTCGAAAACCTACAATGACTTAGACAACCCCTATTGCCTACATTGCAGCTATGCTGAAATTATTCGGTTTCTATCCGTCACTACAATCTGAGGTAGCGCTTTATATACTAATCAAATGAAGGAATGACCCTGTCCATGACACCTTGAATAACCGGATACCTCATACCATCGTCTGAAGATTTTCTACGGTTTATTCAGACACAGAGTCTTCTACCTTAACTGGAATTACCACGTATAAACTCATCACTAATAATTTCATTCTTGAAGACCAATACAGTTTTTCATTCCCTTCTAAACCACTTGAGATTCGAATCATCTCATTGTTGCATAAAACAGATTGTCCGTTACACATTTATTCAACCACACCTAGATCTGTGCTCCCATCCAAGTGTAATTAATCGAGGAACTTAATGACCCATAAAAATGATGATCATACTAATACTATTGAAATTAATAGTTATAATTTCGTCAATCATATTGTAGCGGTCTTTAAAATAAACCATTGTTTGTTCTCATCGTCTAAAACAACCAACGGCTCAGCGAATGGATACGTTGAATTGCAATTAGATGTACGTGTTGATGCGATTCACGGACCGAAACAGTTTATGCCACGAAGCAACAAAATGAACAGAAGGTTGACCCCCGCCGTCAAGTGGAATAAAAATCCCCAATAAGCCCCTCCTCAGGCGAAATGAAATACCACCAATGAAGAAAACGGAGTGTATCACTTGAGAAAGACCGGAACAAGTGATTGGGTAAGGCGAGAACTTGTATTACACAAGCACTGATGCTGTGATATCGACTGGCAGTGAAACACTTTTGGCATGAAAATGCTCAGCTNNNNAGCTCAATGAACAGGTCACGTCGATCAGTTCAATTTCGTATAAATCGAACAAATCAACAGACGGGCGATCCACAAGTAGTTGGTTAACGGTTTTATTGTAAATGGATAATGCACACAAATGAGAAATACCAAGGAATATATTGATAATCAAAACCGTTTGGCATTGAGCCTCATCAATCAAAATCAATTCAAGGGCCTGTCAGCTACTCACGTCGAATATAACCGGTGAGCTTAACCCGAATCCGTTGTCGTCCATTTTCGAATCACTCAAGAATCAACTCAGTTGGTTATTGAAATTTGTTGCCACATCGCCAGTCATGCGGAATGTCAAACTATGTTGTATCGTTTGTGGTCCACGAATGAATTGTTCCCTGGGGGATTTGTTGACCTTATGCCGGATAAGCAACATAGACGAAATGAAGCGGAGATGCCGAACGCACTCATGGGAGTGCATACACAAGCACACACACAAACCAAAGGGATGAAAAATCTTCCGATTGTTAGAATTTCTTACAACAAATCAGTCAGTTGGATGGGGTTAAGAAATATAATCAGCCGTTTATTGAAAGTATTCAAAGGAAACCACCGTGGAATTATTTGCATTCGTAAACAAAACTGGATGAAAATTTTGAAAATATTTTTCTGCAATACCTTAGAAAAAGCAGTAAAAATTGATCTCATATCACTTGGGAAGACTTCAAGGATCCATTCCAGATATAACTTCGTCGAAGATTTTACTTTTGTGCTAAAATAAAGCACCCAGATGATAACACTTATTTTGTTTTATACTAAGTTCTTTGTCTTGAAACTGTTTGTGTCACCGCACCGCGGGACGTACGCAAATGCCGTAGTGTAAAAACGAAATCCACGTGTTTGAGCAATCCCGATCCTGACACTGTGCACAACTCACAAATGCGGATGTGCAGTTAATTTGTTCATGTAAAGCAGACGCAATTATTGTGCTTAGGATGACCTGGTTTGGAATGCAATTTTTAAATAACATATTTAAATTAATTATTTTGCACTAGAATCAACATTCAATGTTAGATTGGAGTACAAGAAAATAATTTGGCAAAATGTAACTGGTACTACGAAATAGCATTAGTATGCGTGAGATAAGTTGATTGCTTAATGCCAAACGTTTTCTACAGCGATTGTTCTGTTAACATAACTTAATAATGAACAATACATTTCAATCCGTTTCCGTTTACTGAACAGCTAAAGAGGGAGAGCTACTTTACAGTAGTAGATCAATTTTTCGATAAGGGAGAGCATAGAGCAGTGAGAAAGTGGGTAATGACACCGATGATGAGATTCAAACTAACAACTTGCAAGTCGTTATCACGGTGTGATCTATGTTTCATTATAAACCGTGTTTCATGTCTATATTTTAGTTTATCTTTAAATTGGGATAGATTGACAAAACGTCCATGTTGATCCTTCTTGTCCGTTAGAATGCAACCTAAATAGGGCATCGCTGAATTATGATAAGTTTGTATACGAGACGTTAATGAGTAAACATTGGATCTGATTGTAGCATGAAATCGGTAGGCGGACAGTTCGGGATTGACTGGATGTCTAGGGTCGTTCAGATTGCCATAGGTGAAATTCTTGTAAAAGATTTATGAAAATCTCACCGTTTTCTCCTGCGGACACAAGAATATAGCGATAAATGTTTTTGCTCTAACTCAGACCGGGAATGATAAGCGGCGCATTTTATCAACATAGATTTATAAATCAGATGACCACCATACATTACTCCTTTATAGGGACCCCTAGGGATCAAGTTATTTTTCCCGATAGTGGGTGATTTTCGAATTTTCCCATGGTTACCAATCGCAAAAGACTAAAAGTCGACTCCTGAACACCGTCAGCCATTAGAAAGAAAAGGGAATTAATGATTTTATGTAGTTTTAGAAGCAGAATTAAAGAGTCTTCAAAATAAAACTAACCAAGCTACTGTTATTCTGCGGTTGTTTTTCTTTCTCCATAACTGTGGCTGGAATGATCGAAAAATTGATTGCTAGTTTCCAAAGAACAATCTTGAGAATACGACATATGGCAACCGTGACTATACTTGGTCAAGACATTTCGACAAGCCACAAATTAATCAGCCCAGTTCGTGATATGAATTGATATTGTTCTAATTGAACCAATCCGGTTGGGAGTAAAATTAACCAATCGGAACAAGTGGGGAAAATACTTGCCGTCCACATATACACACACACATGCCTAAAGTGAACTGGGACGCAAAATGTTAATATATCCTGCATCTTGTGTCGGAGATTAGATTACTGCTTGGAAATAGATCGTTTTCGAATAGTCCAGCAATCGACGGAAACGATTTCGACGTTTGACTTGATCTGCACAGTGTGACAGGCATTCAGTGTAATCGATCCTTTGTAATTTCCCCCCTCCGGTGAGCGCATCTTATTCTTTCTTTCTCTCGCTCAGTCTTTTTTCTCGGCACTTGTGAGATTGGTGAGGATATAGTTTGCATCAGTGGACGATCCATCCTCCTCAACGGAATTATTGTGTTTTTCGTGTTCCACTGTGACCATTTTCATCATCATCGGCAGCAGCAGCAGCAGCAGCAGCATTACAAGTGGCAATACTCTTCGACAGAATGAACAAATTTCAGCGGAATACGTTCCGATCACGCATTTTCCACTCCCGTCTCATTTCGACGTTGGCACCTTTCCTCCGTGTGTTCGTGTGTGCCCAGTTTGCTGGATGACTGATTGACCGATGAACCGATTGATTCAGTAGCATCTTGATCATCCCATTGTTTCGCCGGGAAACAGGTGAATAGGACAACGGGTTTTGTGCGTGCTTGCGCGTGCATGCATACATGCGTGTGCACGTGCGTGTATGTGCTTACATGTGTGCTTATTTGCGGATTATATTTGTCTGTTTCCAAGGGTGAACGTCAACAACAATAATAATAATAATAATAACAGCCACAATAGTAGCAGTTTACCAAACACACACTGACACGATTATTAAAATAGAAAGAACAACTAGGTGAAGAAACCTTGTGCAATAATAACGAAAAAAGTGAACGTTCTCATAACAACCAAATGCCACGGAAAGGATCCAAGGATAGTGTAACGTCAGGTCAACAATCAGTCAGTGTCTCAAAATCACCCAGGAAATCAATTATTGCGGATAAACTGAGCAAATCCCCGGATAGTGTTCACGATGCATCCACAGGGGTATCTCTATCACGGAACCGGTTTCGACGTCTGACTACGGGGAGTCTGTATCAGCCTCGTGGAGATGCACGTAAATCAAGTGACAGTGATTACCATCCTCTTTCACGTTCTCCCTTGGATCCGATTTCCAGCCTTCTTGGCTTGGATGGATCCGGCCCAAACTATGAGTCCGATCGAGCCGATTCCGCACTTCATTCTCCATCAATTATGTCCCGAGGACGACGTGTCAAGCGATTTGTTCGATCCGCACCTTCTGGGTTCGGGACCGATAACTATTCGACCGCTTTGGGCCCGTTACAGGAAAAGCACAAGTTGAATCCGCTCGAACGGGTATTTTTAGAAGCGGCAGAGAGGGGAGACAAGTCAACACTAGCCCGTTGTTTGAGTTTTAAAGAAAAAGTGAATGTAAACTGTGTGAATATGCTCGGCCGCACTGCAATTCAAATTGCGGTGGACAATGAAAATATCGAACTGGTCGAACTGTTACTCAAACAACCCGGAATCAAGATTGGGGATGCCCTGCTCTATGCTATACAGGAAGGTGTGTATCGGATTGTGGAAATGCTTATCGATCATCCATCAATTACCAAAGAAATGCTCGGTTCTGCTTGGACAGAACGTGTGGATTTTGTCTCGAACACAGAAGAAGAAAGTCATGATTTCTCAGCCGATATTTCGCCAGTTATTTTGGCGGCTGTATGTAATCAGTTTGAAATCTTACAGTTGTTACTCAATCGTGGAGCTCGAATTGAAGAACCGCATAAATCATCATGTTCGTGTGTCAAATGTCATCGATTATTGAATGAGGACCCACTGAAGCACACATTACAACGGATTAACACTTATCGCGCTCTGGCCAGTCCAGCCTGGATCTCTCTCACTTCCCCAGATCCCATTCTGACTGCCTTTGAGCTGTCCTCCGAACTATTACACTTAGCCTCTAGGGAGAATGAATTCAAAGAAACCTTCATCTCTCTATGCGAACAGTGTAGGAAGTACGCTTGTGATTTGTTAGACCTTTGTCGAGGCACTGGCGAGGTTGTGGCTGTGTTAAGTAAGAGTAACTTCAGTGACAGTGAGGACAGTGAAACAGAAGACGAGAACGATGGGCCTCTGGATGACACCGGTCTCGTGCATCACACCAACAGTTCGTGCAATCATCAGCCCTGTTCAGGTGGGCATGAACCGTCGGCGGCTTTAGGAGGCAACGACATTGCTACTAGTGATTTGAACAGACCGGAAATTCACGACTGGCGTGCCTTAGCCAATCGAGTGAACGGAACAAAACGCAAACACACTAAAGCGGATATGTTCTATCATCGTAGTGTTAGTAGCGCCCAACTCAGACAGGGTGTCAGCTTAGAAAGTCAACACACCGTGTCCGATGAACTGGGCGACGAGATGATTGCTACATCAATGCTCAATTTACAAAAGGTTGGTTCTTGTGTGAAAACAACTATGGATGGATCTCGTTATTTGCATGTACCCCAGTCCCAGCATGGACACACCGTCACTATTCGCGACAATCGAGACCCGTCCCAGCCTAGACGGAGTTGTCGCAAACAGGATTTGACTGGGCCCAGTACCAGTGTGACTTTCAATCAAACCGATTCCACTTCAGATGATGGGATCACAGCCGGATATTCGGCCGCAACTGGTGCTCGCTCTACTTTGTTCTGTGAACCGCGCAGAGTGAGTTTCGATCACGAATCGAACGATCCGATCCCAACGACGTTACACTCAGATTCCCAATGGACTGAAGACTCAAAAAAATGCTGTGGTTGTTCCCCGTGCCCACAATGCCACAGTAAGCGTGGATCAAATATGAGAACACTAAAGATACGTCGCAGACAACAAGAGATTAATGAATTTTGTTCATTTAAACTGGACCGATTGAAGTTGGCAATCAAACATGAACAGAAAAGAGTGAGTGATGAATTTTACTATCATACTATACTGATCAGTTTGGTTGTTCTCTCCGGGGATATTTATAAGAGGGTCGTCTGGATTTACGAACGAGAGGTTAAATTTTTCTTAGTTAGTGTTTCAAAACCACGGGGTTGATGACCGTGTAGTATAATAGCTCACTATGAAGTACTGAGTCACATGGTCCCATTTAACGAACAGCTTGCTACTCCTGCACACACTTATTCAGCTGGGAAATGCATCAAGATCAGCGTCGAGAATGTAGTTCCTTGCAGGTTTAGGATACCCTACCTTTAGAGAAGCGCACTTTATTCGCCAACAATATAGTGATCCCATTAGTTTTGCTTTGTCCACCAAAACTGAGTCCATTAGGTGCATGAATACTAAAATTGAAACTCAATCCGATTTCCTTGGTAAAGTTACTGGATAAATGCTTACTGGATACTGCAATTGGCTTGTTCACAATACACCTACACTGAGGATTTCCAGAATTCAACTCGGACCACTTAGAGTAGTGAATTCCACAAACTGTACGTATGCTACTTGAGATGGTTTCAGTGTTTATCATGGCTGCATGATTTAGCGTTCATTTTCTCTGCTCCTGGAGAATGTAGTAAGTATTTCTCCAAGCAACTCTCTGTTGCATCTGTTGTTTCTACCCGTTGTATATATGCAAAGGAGATGTATAATCAAACATTTAAAGTACAAATCAAACAACGATTCAGATGATGATTTTGTACGTTTGAAGTTGATCGAGTGATCGATGAGAAGTGCTGCTTACAAAGGCGAACATTTTCTGATGGATCAACCCGATCAACTCTAAGAATGTATGATGAGGTACTAAGTTAAATCACATAGATGATTATAAACACCTATGGGAGAGAACGGAACTGATGCCACACATCTATCACATAACAATTTGTCTTCATGTTACTCAATTTAAATAACAAAAACCCAATACCGACCTTCTTGCTCCCGCACAGATATTGGCCGTGATATCTCACTACCATCTTGCTCATTTTTCTTTAACAAGTTAAAGACAAAGATGATCTTTGTAAGATCTTTGTGGAGAAAACACCCTCTGATCTTCTGCTGTTGTTCCTGGTTATTCTCTCATTTTCTTTAATGTATTCAGCAAGTAACAATCAATGAGTTTTGCACAATCCCCTTTTTTTACTGAAATGCAAATTTAATTCGACTGGTAAAAGTCTAAATACAAGAGCAACCAGTGTGTGTGGTACATAACCCGTTGGCTTTTTACTGAACCACGGTGCCTAGAATGTAGGTAAATACCCTTTTGAGTGCCTTAATTGTTGCACTTATAAAGAATGATTACATTTTTTCTGAGAATTGTTCTATTCCACATGACTAAAAAGACCCCGAGTCTGGTCGGTTGATGCAAAAGTCCATTTTGTTCTGCCAATATACCAAGAATAGGTTTAGATACTAAGCAGAATAAAAAGTGCAAAATTAATTTGATTTTCTTATTACGGATTACTGCTTTGAAATGTCTAGAAATTTGTTGATTTCTGTGACATTTAAAAATAATAAAATAAAGTTTAAAGTATCAAGCTTGGATTAACCCATTCGATTGTTCAGACGCACCAGGCACTCCTGATGGTCTTCGGTGTGGGTTTCATTCCTTGGGAGATCATTAATTCCCCACTGTTTGTATGCATTAAAATGCGATGGAAATGTTTGTGATTACCAACAAAGAACACTGGACGGCTGTTTCGTCCTGTTTGGGACTCTTCAGCAGTGCTTACTTTTTGTGTCCCTGTCAGGACTTGAGCCGTGATCAATTATCACAAACATTTCCATCGCATTTGAATAAAATAAAGGTTTGGTTTCAGTTTAGAGGAGGATTTATTGGTTTCAGTAGGGGAATTGTGATCAATTTTGCACAAAAGCTTGTCTTGGATTTTACGCCATGTCATTCCGCATGACTGTTAACAACATGCATGACCGACCTCTGTTTGATTAGAATCCACATGGAATTTTCCCGTTTGAATATTGCTCCTAATGCTTTCTCAAACATTGGGATAACTTCGAATTATGTGGCTCATATTGAGTGTATTGTATTGTATTTTAATGACTTGTCGAGGCAGCTATGCTTACATTTCAGTCCGAAAAATGTGTTCACCGTTACAATGGGATACGAAAATGAAAGTGCATTTGAAACATTGATAAAACGCAAACAGAAGATCATCTTTGTTGGTTTAAAATTAATTTGTTTCTGATTTTCATATTGTCATTTAGATTACTGGTCAAATGGGGTACTGTGGAATTGCAATGACTGCTCATACAGGGGAGTATGCAGCGATCCGGTTGTAGAGTGGGATCAGAATTCAGATAGATCTGCATTGAGCGGATGATTCGGGTTGTTGTTGTTGTTGTTGTTTTTTGTTCAGTATGTTACCCATTTTAGATAGTCCAGGGATAATAACCGGCAAACAACAAACTATGACAGAAAAATTGCATTGATATACAAAAGAACATAAAGTCGCACGCTTCACTTCAAATTATCGTAGCTTCCGTCCTCAATACATAGATGACGCACTTTACCGTCACAAGCTAGCGCATGAGAGGACCATCGCAGATTGCTCTCCATGGCGACTCCTAGATAGTTGTTGATGTGTTCTAGTAATGGGTATGGAATCAATGACTGAGGATTCCAAGGGCTACTCGGATCGGAAATAACTAAAAACATATATGAAAGATTTAGAAGCATTCAATTAGATACCGTTTTGGGTTGAGAATAATTGCACTTGGACTAAAGTTTCAGCAAATAAATCCATGTCTGAATAGTTTGAGGTGGCTTGATAGAAGACCGTATCATCAGTATACGTAAAGTTCATGGTTGGAGGGATAAGGAGTAAGTCACTAATGAGTCTTGAAAATAAGACTGAGGAAAGCAGAGCACCCTGAAGGTGACCACAATTATTCATTATTTGTTTTAAACTAGTACCGTTTGCTTTCGTTCCTGTAATTCTTCCTGTGCGATGGCCTTTCAATCACAACAACAAAGTGTTGGAGCAACCAACTGACTGTAACTTTCGCAGGAGGAGGAGGAGAAGAAGAGATCGTGGAACGGAATCAAAAGTGAAGGAAAAATCGAGGAAAACACAATGAAAGAGAAATTAATACTAGACTGCAAGCTGTTGAGAATAGCACACTTTACTGATTTGATGTTCCAAGGAAATGATGGCAATGGGACGAAAGCTTTTGGATAAAATGCCAAATGAAAACGAGTTAGAAACAGGTATATGTGTGAATGATCTCCAAAAATCGGATATTGTAAATGGATTAATTAATACGGGACGGGAACATCACTCTGAGTGAGTCCGCGTGAACGTAGACTATCGGAGCCAACTGGACGCGTGAATTTTGTCGTTATAAGATGATAGACTCACTCATGGGTGACAGGGTCTACGGAAGATAAACAGTCTGTACGGAATGGAGGCTGGGGATCATCTGAAGCGTAAATGAGTTCAGTATTAAGGATACTCACATCAACAGTTTTGTTTGTTGACCGTTTCTTCGATGCGCACAGCAATCTAATTCTTTTCCATAACCGTCTTCCAGCTCCCAGAAATCTTTTTCGAATGAATCATTCAGTCTTTGTTATCCCTGTCCTGATTTGCAACGCAATTTGTTTGTCAGTAGTTGTTTATTTTCATCTGGAACGCCTGTTACGTTTGTTTTTCAATAATTTTTAGCAGCGAAGAGCATTCTGTGCCAATATGAAAAAATAGCTGTCATAGGACAGTATATATAGAAAATTACATTAACCGTTTCAACGGAACAGAAAGATTGCTGAGCGGATAAACCTCGAGATGGTAGTAAAGTATTTTCTTCGGAGAAAGAGTCTGTTGACTTGAGGCTTCTGAATGTTTATTTTCATTTGTTTCGTATGAGTAAAATTAACGTCAATGGAATTTGGATTAGCATTAACTAGGAGAGCAATGAAAGGAAATTAAAAGAAGCTGATTTTGATTTGTGAGAAAAAAGGGACAGCACAGAAATTGAGAAAAATCGTGATGAGAAAAGAGGAGAACCTAGGTCGAGAGTACTGAATACCGTTACATCAGAAGGCAAACAAAGTTTCGGACTTGCCACACCAGTTGGAGTTAATATGGGTTATCTCCTCTCATCTCCAAGGGATTTCTTCTACTCATTTGATCACCGAGTTATTGTTGCTTATGGAGCCTAGAATTGCCGGATTCATAAAGCATTGTGATGACCAGGATGCTTGAACTCACACAACACAGCATGCTTTGAGTTACATGTTACCATATACACAACACTCTGAATGTGGGAATACTGACGTGTTTCAGATTTACTGTGCTTTATCGGTTTTTATCACATCAGTTTCAACCGTGTATACTCTTCTTTAAGAAGATTTTAGGAGAGATTTTTTGAAATGAGTATTCACACTGAAATCCAGTTCAATGTTTCAGTGTTATGTGGACTCGTCATAAATACATTTGAAGATAGTACGACAGATTTACCGTTAATTCGTAAGATGAGTGGTATAAATTGTTGTTTTATTGGTATGAGTAGTAGAAGTGGTAGTAGCGTTACTAATATTTGTAGCTTTTTATACTACTTGGAGTATCCACAAGCGTCAGATAGTAGATCGGTCATTAGATTGGAAACTAGAAGTGAATAAGTCGCATTCATACTCATTGAATAAGCAGTTGTAGACTTGCACTGGCAGTGCCAAAAGAACAAAAGTAATTTCCTCTTCGTGGAAATCGCTTCAACACTGCACCAAACGAGTCTGGTGGCGATACCCTCACATGGAGAATGCGACCTATCACTTTGAAAACCGTCATCAATTTACCCTTTCCACTTGTTTCATAAAGGTATCCTGTAAATAGGATTGCTGCTGAGCATAAG